AGTGCACATCACGGGAAGATCAGCAGTGAATAGATACAGATGTAGGATATGCTGATCGCGTTCGGATGCATTGCGGGCAACATAGCAGCAGTGACGCTGCACTTTGGGATCTCTCGAGTCGCCAATTGTGGCGCATGCGATACCTGCCTTTGCTGCACCATAATGGCTGTATAACAGCAGGAAGGCGCGGCAACTGCGAGATGCGCATGATATGATACGGTTGTCGCAATAGTTTGGGTAAAAGATGGTGTTGAAGCGACTCCATGGCCACGCAACTCCAGTCTCGCGTCTCTACCTTGGTACGTCTGCGAAACCAACATCACCTGCATCACTTTGTTCACACACTAACAATTTGCGCTGCCAAGTAATGTACATATGTTACATTGCTGCGGTTCTATCTACGCAGTTCATTCAGCTGTGGCGGACAGACTAACTACCCATCGCACACGCTAGCACCCCCATCCAAATTCCAGTTACATCTTCGCGTCTTCTCCAGCCACCGTCAGCAAACGTCATCAATGCGATCATCATCGCAGACGAGTTACTGCGTCCAGCATCACGAAGAACATGGATATACATCCTGTAACAATTTCCTTCCCCCTCTTTACATCTCGACATTTATTGTCGTGACGTAGATCCGTTGGTCCGACCCATACCCATTCCTGTTCCCCGTGACAGAAGAGACGTTGCGACGGCTAGGTGAATGCCTTCCAACAGCGCAGTTTCCAGATTGGAGACTATCAGCTTGCGGCGACTTGATACAGATTGCTGTACAGTTGCTCATAGAAGAGAACGTGAGTCTGGTAGGTGTAGCGGTGGTATGGCTGGTGTTGTTGATAGAGACGTCTTTGTTGCATGACATCAAAGACTGGTGCATGTCCAATCATGGCTTGACGTCAGATCGGTCTTGCTGACCATATGGGTTCTGGTTCTGGCAGAACTTCTCAAAGTCAGGAAAGCTGATGTAGCCATCTGAAAGAATGTTAGTCTCATGCTACTTCAATCTGACATGCTCAGTGCTTACCCTGCTGCCTGTATTGGCGGACATAGCGGTCACTCTCGGTTCTTGACATGGAAGGCCTCTCAGAAGTGTAGGCCGGTTCCGACTGCAATCTTGATCGTGGAGTGAGCATCGGGCTTCCAGGTGGCGTCTCGCCTCGAGGTGTAGTAGGCGATGAAGCAACCTTGGCTAGGAGAATGGAGGCCTTGGTCGGGCTACCGGATGTTGATGTTCCAGAGTCCCGTCGAGAGGTTACAGGCACAAGTGTGGTGAGGCATGGCGAAGAAACAGTTGATGGTGTTAGAGGTGGCCGCCGGCTTGCTGAGCGAGATCGTGCAGGCGCCTCAGTAGGCAGCGAGAAGTAGTATCGTGGATGGCTAGACATGGCGAAGATGTGCGTCGATCGACAGAGAGCGAGTGTTAAAGTCGGAGAATTACTGCGGTATGAAATTGAAGAATGACGGAGGGCGGGAACGGGTAGTATGTATAATGGCGTCCAAATCGCCTAGACGCTATTCACCCCATACTACCGAATGCATGTATGTATAGTGACGCCTCTGCTCGTTCCAGGCACCCTGGTCGACGCCAGGTGCATCAGCAGCCCGGAGCTCCCCACTCGACATCGCTGGCCTTTCGGGCTAGTTATGCATGCCGAAGTGGGTACCGCCAGAAAACGTGGACGTTCTGAATTAGTCTGCTTGCAAGGGAGGTGTGCTGTCACGCTTTGACTCGCCCTGACTCGCCCCTGATGCACACAAGACCACCTCACCTCCATTTCTCTAGTCTGGTAGTCTGCTGCGAGCTGCTGCAGGTGTGAGTTGGCCACCGCCGACGATGCGGATGACAATCATGAAACACTTTGTCGCGATTTAGTCGACAATGGCAGCGTACCTCGAGAGCCAAATCGGAAAGGTCGATTTCGCCTTGGATGCGCTTGCGGTGTGGCAGGTCATTCGCGTCGGCCGTTCCTGATTGGCATCGCGCTCCTCGATCCCAGGCCTCGCCGGAAGAGCGGGTGCACAGCCATAGCGGCGCCGTCGCATCCTCAAACCATGGCATCGGCGGATGCAAGCCGCACTCCCAATGAACATCCGTCATGGCTGCGCGGTGATGACACAGCCAGCGCTGCCCTGTTCTCCGCCCAGTTCCCGGCGAGCCTTCCTTGTTGTGTATCAGGAACGTTCGAGAGGGGCACACGTATGCTTATCCACAGCCTAATCTGTTATCGAGTCCAGACGTCGCTGCAGACCACCGTGCGGTTTGTGCGACGAGACAGGTACCGGACTGCAATGAGCCTCATTCATATCGGCCACTTTGTCGGTGACGACATTGTCTCAGCTGAGGGTTTCTATTTCTGCCGTGTCATGCAATGCGGATGACATCCCTTGTCATCGAAAGTCGAGAACGTCGTACTTGCAAGGGCATCCTTCCCCTCCTTTCGTGCGATCCGGTTGGAGCATAAAGACACGCGAGAAGACCAACACTTTCGACACCGGTCGCTATTACATAGCCTTCCATAACTACCGATCGCGTGTTTCGATTTCGCATGTCACGTCGGTAGTGTCTTTCCGTGGCATGGCGGTTGAGGGGAAGCCACGTACTCGGCATTCTATCGCTCAGAGACTGCTACGATGCAGGTCATCAATCACCGCTTGCGATGACCAAAAGCCGATTGTTCTTTCTGGAATTACTAATAAGACAGTCCAGTAATGCAAGAACTGTTTTTAGAGGCAACAACTACGAGCATCCCGAGATCTTCTGGGGACATTGCGAGATGCCTAGGTTTTGGTGGGATACATCCCTGGATAGGTACACATCCGCCCCTCCATCTCGTAACTCTGCAACCAGACGAATACTATAACCCGTATCTCTAACCGGCGATACTTGGGTCGACTTGTTCTGGAACGATGATTACCTCGCCTCGCTCCACCTCCGCGTCAGCTGCTCTCACATGTTGCCATGCCTTCCGTAAAGAGCGGGCAACGCTCCGATTTGACAGTCCTGCTCTCAACGCCGCATTCTCAGCTGGGCGCCTGATCCTGAAGGTTCAACAAAATGTTGGTTAAGGACCATGTAAACTGTCTTTGGAAACACGATTACGGCCCTTCTTCTATATCTACGGGTCATCCGATAGGCAGGCCAAAGTTTCGCCCGTTCATCTCGAGAGGCTGATGCAAGAGCCGAAAGCTATCTAGCATCATGCCGTGCTGCCCAGTCCGTCATTGTGTACATACAATGTGGTTAGCCAAACCGACGTGCATGCTAGACCCGGGAAGCGGGAACCCCTCCACGCCGTCATAGCCGCGGCCGTTGACCAGCAAGTTTGCGATTCCGCATCCTCATCGACGATACATTCCCATGTACTCTTTTCGGACCGGAGACATCCAGCACTGGGACCCAAAGTTCGCATGCCCCAGCGGCTAGCCATAACACCAAAGGCAGCTTTGATGCGTTGGTGTTTCGTGACGGTGCTGAGGCCCTCCTCAACATACCCCTCACTCAAGACACCCTCAGCTCAGACGCCTCTGCCCCAAGTAAATTCTCCGCAAATCCAGACACGCTCCTACGGCAGATCTCGCCGCCGATCCTGTCCGAAAACTAACATACATACCCGCTCAACACCATACCGAGTCTTATGCTGCGTCTCGTTCTTGAGCAAGCGAGTTGAAAAGCGCCTGTCACTGCGGCAACGCAGAAACGGTCGCCGACAGTATGACGAGTTTACCGCCACTATCGTAACCACACTGCACTCCACTCTGCAACTCTACCGATAATCAGCCAACTAAAGCTTACATCTGACCCTCTACGTGCGAACAAATAAAAACACGTTCTTTTTGATCCACCCCGTACTCTACCTCACCGAACAACGGCGAAAGCGAAAAGAACCACCACACTAGATCACGATGTCCCAAAATCTGAAACACATCTGAGTGGAGTCGTACGCAGTTCCCAACCACCCACAACCACGCACGCACAAAGAAGCGGTAAGCAGAAAAGGCACCAAAACAGCAAGCAAAGAAAAAAAATCAACGTGTACCAACACCAGCGGTCAACCCAATAAGCGGGCCGCTCCCGGCAATCAATCGGTGTCCTTTGCTCCGTTCACACCAACAGCCCGTCCGTCTCATCCCCCCCACTTCCGCTACACACCGAATCCCAACACGTGCACACTTCCACCACAACACCCACATAACAATCCGCATTCTAGACCCTTGATTCCCACATTTCTCGCCTGCCTAACACGTGCAACACACCGGTAGATCGTTATCTCCAAACGAAACGGCGCATCTGCAGCTGTCAGGCCAGGTCATGCGCGGTAGGTGCGGGTAAGGCGACGCGCGGGTGTACCAGGGTGAAAGGAAAACACAGTGACAGGGGAGAGGAGGGGCATAGGGGACCGGGTATGCTGGTATAGGGACAGCGATCATAGTAGATGGGAGGAAGTCAAGCGGGAGGTTTTGTGCTGTTGCGGTTTAGTGGCGGTGCCGATGTATGCATGAAGTGACAGGGCTTGGGGCGTTTTCTTTCACGTGTGTTATGCGAGTATGACTGGAATTATGAGGTGGGTTTGCGTGGTGGGGGATGTGTATGGTAGCCGGTGGGTGTTTTGGCGATGGGAACGCGGTATGCGGAGGGAGGCGTGTGGACTATGGGTACGTGTGTTGAGGGGACTTGATGGTAAGCGATTGGTTGGGGGGTGGTGTTGTTGGATTGGACGGTGGCTTGGCTGTTGCTGTTTGCACGTGAAGATGGTGGTAGAAGTATCAAATCAATCATCATATAGAGATGATACAGCAAATATGCAAGCACGATCAACAATGAAGTAGTTCGAAGTGGCACGATGTGTTGCGTTTTGACAATGCAGTTCTTTGTATGTACTATCATCACATGTCGACATAGGCAACTCGCACTGTACCACTAATGGTGGCTTACTCCTACAACATGTCACCTCTTTCATGTCATCCGAGTTCTTCAATGCTAGATTGAGGTCAGCATGGGTTCATGAGGAGTCACCAGTTGCACTTACGTCGACGTCGTCCCAACCACGACCCTTTACGTTTGCCAACTCGTCCATCGACATAACATGGCCGGTTGTGACTGCGACATCCTGTTAGTAGTCGTCCAGAGCTTTAGAGGGAGTGGAAGCTTACAGTAGCCAGCTTGAATCTTAGCATCAATCTCGACACGACTATCTGCCGGGATCATATCGTCGGGAATGGGTACACGCTCATGGATAGGAATGCCTTGATCGACAATAGCATCGTGCTTCATGTTGGACATGCTGAGCATCCTGTCGATCTTGGTGATACCCAGCCAGTGCAGGATATCTGGCATCAGAGCCTGGAAGCGCATGTCCTTGACACCGGCAATGTTCTCAGTGCGCTTGAAGTACTCGCTGGCACGGTCCTCGCCTCGCTTTCTGGCGTTGTAGACGAGGTATTTCGTGACCTCACCCAAAGCACGGCCTTCCTTGCGGAAGTAAATGACAACACCGCTGCCACCCTTCTGGGCCTCTTTGACTGCTTCTTCGATACCGAAAGTCAGGTAGGGACGGCATGTGCAGATGTCAGATCCGAATACGTCACTTCCGTTGCATTCGTCGTGGATACGGAGAGCGAGCTTCGCGCTAGGGTCGGACATCTTTGCTGGGTCACCGAAGATGTAGACTGTTAGACCGCCAATAGGAGGGAGGAAGAGCTTAATGTCGTGACGGGTGATGAGCTCTGGGTAGGAACCACCAGTCTCTTCGAATAGTGTCCTGCGCAAAGTTCCCTCGTCTTTCGAATACGTTAGTGGATGTAGTCAGAAATGCGTTTCGACCCACTTACCAATGTTGAAACGCTCAGCAACACCAGGCAGGTACCATACAGGCTCTACTGCGACCTTGGTGACCGCAACCTCACCAGTCTCGTTGACGCAAATCTTGCCATCGGGAACGAGCCTGCCTTTCCTTACACTCTCCTCAAGTTCTGGCACTTTCATGTGTGCTCTGGTGATGGCAATGGTAGGTCTGATCTCAACATCGTCCTTATCCATGGTTTCCTTGTACAGCCAGGGTGCGAGATGGCCGTATGGGTCCATGGCCACAATCTTCTTTGGGTCGCTCCATTGCGGGAAAGGACCGATCTTTGCGGCAGGCTCAGTGTTGGTGAAGTCTGGCTTGTGTGTGATGTCGAGGTTCTTGCTGGCGACAGCAAGGGCGTTGTAGATGGAGTATGAGCCACCATGAGCACCGATAGCTACGAGAAGTTAGTAAACAACAAGCTGTATAGTTGTTCGGATGTACGTACCGTTACGTCTTCGGATAGTGTTCGCATGTCTTGACACAACGACAGGGCCACGAACAGCAGGGTCCTTGGCACCCCACTGCATTGGCAACGGGTCGACACCGGCTTGGCCGGGATACGAAGTCAAGATGATCTTTGAAATCTTGGATACACTCGTGCGACGTGGTTGGGCATCAGCATTTGAAGGTGGCTGCTCATACTGCTCGCTAACAGCTTCTACGGACTTCTCTGGCTCAACTTCCTTCGCCTTCTCGCCGTCCAGCTTGCCATTGGCAGCTTCACTTGCTGCCTCGTCCTTGATTTGCTTGATGCCTGCCAGCATGTTCACACGGCCGTTGATCTTGTCGACTGAAGCTGCCAGTACGGAGTTCTCCGAGCGGAGCGCCTTGAGCCCATCGAGAATCTCCTTGAGGACAGCATCGCTGGTGGTGCTTTCAGTAGACATGTTTGGTAATGGTAAATCTCATACAAAGTAGTACAGGATCTCTGATCTTAAAAGACAAATAGCAATCGCGATTGCTGCGTTGGTATCGAGTCGTGAAACAAAGACCGGTGAGCTCCGGTGGTAGGACGAACACGCAAGATGATGTAGAAGTGGGGAGCGGACAGAGTCACAAACACAACTTTGAACAAACGTCAAAGGGGACCAGAAGAATCCAGAGAAGGAGGAGAAGGAAGGAAGAGGAGGATCAACGTGGTCAGATATTAGGAGCTCGCCGGCGGTGGCAGCAGCGAACAGCTGACTACACACGTGCATGATGGTCGCGGCGAGCGCTGATAGGAGCGGGGGCGCTTATCGGCTATCGACGTATGCGGCAGCTGCAAGGGAGCGACAGGGATCTTGGCGGTCGGAACCACGCGAGACTCGAGACGCATTCAAGCCAAACTCGCGATTTCGCGTCACTGCACACGACACCGGCGCGACAAGCACCAAACACGGCTCTGGATATCCACACCACAATCGCTACTTAATAATTACGTGTACACACACCTTCCACATCTGGCGACTCTAGCCAACGCGAAAAATGGTGCGTTCCTCCCGGCTTCACGGTATCGCAGGCGCAAACTAACAGCAATGACAGGGCAAGCGCAAATCCTCCAGCAAGCCTCAAGGGCCCAAGAAGGCAGGCTCTGCCCTATCCTCCTGATGCCCCGCCGACTAACGCCCCTGTAGAAGGAGAAACTCCCGACCACCTTCCAATGTCTCTTCTGCAACCACGAAAAGTCCGTCAGCGTCTCCATCGAGAAGAAGTCGGGTGTGGGCAACCTGCAATGTAAAGTCTGCGGCCAGACCTTCCAGACCAACATCAACTACCTAAGTGCGCCCGTCGACGTGTACGCCGACTGGATCGATGCGTGTGACGCCGTCGCGAAGGAGGCAGCCAAGGGCAGCGTCGAGACGGCGCGGAGTACAAATCGCATGGGCAGGATGCCGACGGCGCACAACCAAGAAGACGACGACGGCGACGGCGGCTTCATCGAACACGACGAGCCTGACGCCGAGGGCGAGTACGCGGACTGAGTTGCCCGGGGGCCATCGCGCGAGGGCGACCAGGCGTGAAGGCTTCAGGCCTTGTATAATACATGGGAACATGGGGAGCGGATCATGGCTTGCATGGCGTTTAGGTTACCAAAAAGGATCCGCAGATTCACGGTGGCGTTTCATTATCGTCGTCAGCGTCAGGCTCAGTGTGTTCACGGTTAGCTGAGCGCAGCCTGTAGAAGTGTACACAGTAATCAAGCGTGTACATCAATGACCCTGGTACGCCTATAATCATGTGGTTTTCTTTGAACGAAACCATGCTACTACATGCCCAACTAAACCTAAGCCGCCCTGCGCCCAGCAAATGCTATCGATGAACCGGAGATGCTGTTGATTTCTTTACATGGTGTAGAAACGGTCGCCAAAGTCACCCAGTCCAGGGACGATGTAGCTACACGTCATATTAGTATGGAGCGGTTAGGAGATGGGAGTAAACATACTTCTTCTCGTCCAGACCCGCATCAACAAAGGCAGTGACTACCCTCACCTTGGGGAACTTATCCGCAAGGTTTTGTGCGCCTTCTGGGCTGGCAATGAGGTTGAGGAAGAGAATGTGCTCCTCTGGCACGCCCCGCGACTTGAGCACATCGATCGCCATGAGTGCCGAACCACCTATCTCCATCAGCAGTGCTTACGCAAATACGCCTTGTGTACTTACCAGTAGCCAGCATAGGATCCAGCAACAGGACCCATCTGTCGGCAATGTCCTCAGGCAACTTGTCGTAGTACAATTTCGGCTTACTAGTCTCCTCGTCCCGCTGAATCAAGATCTTTCCAATGCGTACGCTCCTACAGCAGTCCCTCAAACCCTGCTCCATGGACTCTCCCGCACGCATAATCGAGACACCACAGATCTTGCCCTCGAACTTGACACCGGAGTAGGTGCGACCTACTGGGGTGGTGATCTCCTGGGACTCTGTTGGCAGGTGATTGAGACCTTCTTCGACAAGCAAACGGATTATGCGGTTGCTGTAGAAGATGAAATCTGCGCGGCCGGTATTGCGATCACGTATCATGCTTTGAGGTTGTTAGTTTAGGTAATGGTGCCCGACCATGGTGTTGTGATGGTTCACGGGGCTCTTACGTGAGCAATGCTATCAGCTGAGGGGATTGAGGTAGGATGTGGACATTGGCCTGCTTGAGGGGAGTTGAGACGGTAGCTGTTGGTTTCAGATTTGAGGGACGGTATTCGGGCCCCAGGGATTGGGAAGGTGGATGCGAGTCGGAAGACATGGTTAGGGAGAGGCTGAGGATGGTCAGTCAAGGTCACGTAGCAGGAATCTGGTAGTATGGAGATGTTTCAGAGCCAAGATACAGCATCCTAGCAGGAGCGTTTGGGAATATGTAAACGTAGTCATAGTCTAAAATGAACTTACCGGCGCGTGAATGTGTGAGTAGAGCTTGTGCTGTTGGAAAACAATTTGATATTGTGGGGTGGTAAGGATGAGATCGAGGTGAGAGCAAGACCAAACGATAGAGCAGACTTTTATCAATGGATACGATGTCCAGATAAGAGGCAGGAAAGAGGAGCTGGAGCGTAGGTGGGCTAACAGTCTAGGCTCGTGACCGTCGGCGAAGTCCTTCACTCTGTTTGGGAAGGAGCAACCCATGCCCCGCTGTTTAGCGTGCCTGTCGTTCGGGACCCTGCTTGGATCACCAGCCACCATGCAAACAGCCGCTTTGAGCATTTCACCGTGACTGTCATGAAGTCGCGACAATGAGAGAATAGGTTTGCGGTGAGCGAACGCGTGGACCGACGCTATCAAGCTGAAGGAGAGCGGGTGCCGAGACAAGCCATCCACGGTCCCTGGTGCCACCCGCCTGCTGCGAGATGCGCGTCTGAGCCAACTTTGGGAGCGTCACCACAACACGCCTACGCACCGACATGGCCACGACCATGTTCGCCAATTTCACGTCCGGCGACCGTCGCAAGAAAGTCTACGGCAAATCCGCGCGTCGCTCCACCCTGCCGCCGCCCCTTCCTGATTCCAACGATGATGCGCCGCCATCCCCAGACCGACCGCGGAAACATCCCGCAGCCGTGAACGGCTCGCTGAAGAAGGCCGGAGACACATTGAAGGCCAGCACGGGTCTGGAGAATGCGCGCGCAAGGACCGATGATGTCGACGTCTTCGATGTACCCTCTGATGACGACTTCATGTCGCGCCCGAAGCCCGCGAAGAAGATCGTAGCGAAACGTCGGGCACCTGAAGCAGGCTTGGAAACCTCAAGTTCTTCCAAAGGGGAGGCCGTGGTGGCATCCAAGAAGCCAGCAAAAGCTTCACAGCCATTGCGCAAGCCTGACGACGCGAATACTGCCACCGTAAAGAAGACGCTGCCGACGCCCGCGCAAGTTGCAAAGCCCGTACAGGCACCGCCACCGCCATCCTCGGATACGATCGCACCTCGGACACTACGCGGGAAGACGCCTCAGCCCGTGGAAGCACAGAAACAGGCGGCAAGGGATCCGAAGTCATCACAGAGGCCGGTGGCCAAGGCAAAAGCATCTTCAGAGACGACGGCCGTTGCGCCGACAGCGACTAAGGCTCAGAAGAATGCGAAGATAACCTCGGCACTACCTGCGAAAAAGACGGCAGCAAAAGCTCTTGCCAAACCGACCGATGACCTCGCTGTGTTTGATATACCGATGTCGGACGAAGAGGCTCCGCCAACTGTCAAAAAGATCTCACGTCAAGCTCCGCAGACAGCACATAAAGAGCCTCCCGGGAAGTCCAAGACAACATCGGAAGAGTCTCACAAGGACACTACCGAGTCGGACGAGTCGAATGCATCGAACAAGCGAAAGCGCAAAGGGTCCATGTCGTCGACTGCCACAGTGGCTACGCCAGTGGTACAAAAGACGACTGAACAGACGGCGCATCAGCGGAGCCGGAAGGTTCAGAAGAACGAAGAAAGTGCTTCACCGGGGCATGCATCACTGTTGCAGCCCGTCGCAGGCGCAACACGGAAAACGCAACCGCCAGCGCTGGCACTCAACAAACCGACAAGGACGAGGCAACGTACCGTACCCGTCATGGCACCGCGAAAGATGGTCAAGGGCCAGTCCTCTCCTGCTACTCTGAGCGGCATGATACCGAATCGCCAGGCCCCCAGGCCATCTCCTGTCAAGAAAATCCCAGACGTGCCTGAGACGGAAGACGAGACTATGTATGACATACCAGATCCATTGACCACCCCTGTTCGGAAATCCAGACCTGTCGTACCTGGCTCCGTGACACCGCGACAAAGAGATCTCTTCAGCGGCTTGCTAAGCGATTCATCGTCCTCTGCTACACCAATGCCAAGCCTGGCGAACTTACAGCTCACGGATCGCAAACCGAGATCACTCATCGGTAACCTGGCAAGATCAAAGTCTGATGTCACTCACAGTACCAAGGCTCGTAAGACCAGACTGATTGACACTCTCAAACCAACCGAGACCAGCTCGGACGATGACGAAGAAGACAGCAGCAGCGATGGTGGAGAAGAGTCTGAAGCAAGCTCAAAACATCCCTCGTCTGCAAGAAGATCTGTACGAGAAGTCGGAAAAGAGCAAGCTTCAACGGCGTCCTCTGACGACATGGATGTGGACAAGCAAGCAAACGCGGAGTCACAAACATCGCAGACAACGTCGGGTTTCGGCATGCGACCAAGGCTCACCTACGCAATGGCGCGGTCGTACCTAAAGGAAGACAACCCAGAAGATGATCTACTGATCTCGATGGATCTAGACGATGGCTTTGGGTCTCAGTCCCAGATGGATACCAGATCTGTATCCGAGGGTGACCCCGAGCAGAACAGTCAAGCACAGGCTCAACAAATTCACGAGCTCAAGACACGGGGGCGTAACATGATCATCGGATATGAAATCGAAATGATGATAGGAGACATATCCGTTACCAACAGTAAGAGTATGAGGCGTAGCGCAATGATCGATCTGTGCACCAAGATGGCCGATGAGACGTTCTGTCATCAGCTTGTCGACTCGGCTCTGGCCCATCAGTTCTTCCAGAACATCGCTGGCGGTCGCGAGATTGTCTTCGACTTTGTCGCTGCCGTGGCCACAGTATTTATCCTCCGGACCAACCCTACCCACTCTGTCCTAGACGAGCTACAGGAGACTGGCAGTTTCGCTCACTTGATCGAGCTAGCCAGCAACGATGCAGATATCAAGGAGATCGCCAAAGATCGCAAGTCGAACATGTCTAAGATTGCTAAGGAATCGGTATTCACGTTTCGCACCCTAGTCCAGCAAAGCTCTATCTGGTCATCCAGCGTAGTACAGAAGGTATCTCCCCAGCTTGTCGCGCTGAAAGCTATCGAGTTGCTCATCATTGGTATGCGGAAGGCTGGCAATGCTGATAAGCTACTTGATCAAACGATGATCTCCCAGCTCGTTGAGATGGCTTCGAAATCGAATGATCGGTTGCAATCGGGCAAGGAGGGAAGCGCGGACAAAATATGCCTGGAAACAGTACTTTCCATACTCGAGTCAATTTCTGCCACGAGACAGATCCAAGCCTCCTGGCCGACGGGTGTGCTTCAGCGTATTGCGGGCTTTATGCCTCGGTTCTTCCAGCCTGACAGCGCTGCATCAACTATGCTCGCTGTCAAGCTATGTATGAACTTGACGAACAACAAGCCGAAAGCTTGCCAGCCGTTCTCAGCCATGGCTTTTGTGCAGCCATTGACGCAATCTATCATTGGAAAGTTTGAGTCAATCAGTACGGGGCTCGCGACGGAAAAGCGGACAGAGGTTTTGGATAGTCTCATCTTGAGCTTGGGTGCTTCCATCAATCTTGCGGAGCTGAGCGACGAGATGAGGCTTAACGTCGCTGATCAGATTGACGCTCTGGTCGCCATCTTCCTGGAGGGATCAAAGCGTGCTTCACAGGTACGTACGCGTTCAGAAGTCATGCTTTCAATAATACTAACCCTGCTTTAGGCTGCTTCTGTGGAAGAATCGCATTCTGGTGTAGCCATCGGATATCTTGCCGTGCTCCTTGGGAATCTGAGTCTCAACGACCAGATAAGGGCAAAGGTCCGCACGCTGCTACCGAACAAGCGACTTGACACCCTTGTCGATAGCATCAAGGAATTTGTCCGCGTGCACCAACACGTTGACCAGAAGGCAGGAAATCTTGAGGGAACAGAGGGTCAAGAGGCTTTGCAGTCCTATACGGCACGCCTCATGCTTGTCGTGGAACGGTTACAGAATGCGAGCACTTGATGGTGCAGAGATGCAGAGGCTTGACTCCGGTATCCCGCCTGGGCATTGATTCATTACTGATCAGACGCACTTTGCCTTTACTTGATTATCCCTCGGGTTGTTTACCATTGGGCAGCAAGTCGTTTCCCTCTTGACAGGTAGGTTCTTATTGGTTAGGCCTTTAATGGCTATGGCATGATACCCCGAATTACGCGTATGCGGTCATTGCTGGGAAGGGATCGCTTGTATTGTATATAAAGATTTCGATACCCCAGCATCTTGGACAGAGATGTGAATAGTAACGGTCGTGCAGCGAGGCTCTTCAGGCTAGCAAATGACCCGTAGCAGTTATATGAGAAACCTGCAAGCTTATACTGATTGAGCGACATGTCGTCTATTCGTCGCCGCTATCCGCTCGTATTCCCATCGCGTAGGCAGTAGAGGCTAAATGAAGGCTTGTAACCTCGCACGTACCCGTCCGTAAGGCTGCACCCGACCCAGAAGGCCGGCTCAAGTGACGCAACAGCCGGCATGTGGAGTGGCTCTGCCGTCGGGGCAATTTGCGAGATGCCTTCTACAGAACTTCCATGCAGCGGGCGTGTAATATCCGGGCGAGCAACTTTTTTCACTTTTGCAACGACTTGCATGTGATGGTTTCGCCTTGAGTCAAGAACGCCCGACATCATTTCGGCTAAGTTGTATGCTCGGGGCATCGGGAAGGGCAGCAATAGTTTCTGACATTTCGGAGGTTCTTGTGGCGCTGAGTGGTTGTAAGTGAATGGAGTATCTGCAGGTAGTGTGCTGGACAGGTTTGCGCTAGGCTCGAGACGATTGGCAATACGTAAATGAATGCTTCGAGAAGCTCTGGATTCGTCGGCTACGGGGTGCACTGTTCGGCTTGGATGGCCAGAACTGCGGAACCCAATACCAGCTGCTCGGTGCCAAACCCAAAGCGATATATCATGGTTGCCCAACTTTCATATGCGGCCGCGAGTCGTTGCTGCTATATCGAGATGGGAGCCGGCAGACATGACGGCATCAGCACCCGGTCGGGGACTTTTTTTCGTGAGCAACGCCTGCTCTTCACCTACAACTCTGGCACGACGCTCGCTGAAGTTTGCCTCGAACCATACATCCTCAGGACAGTAGCTACAGCGCTCGGGCCAGTGAACCAGCTTGTTCGTGCCACACGCACCCATCACCTGCAGCTAGACGGCGTCATTCCGGGCTGGAAGCTAGCTCCTACAGGCAATTGGCAGGTCCGAAGCACCAAACGCAACCTAGGCAGCTACATCGCAGCGGTGGACTGAGACAGCCAAACCTCAAACCTGGCGAGTCGTTCAGCTTCCTCACGACCTCTTCCCAAACCCAGCAGCAAGATGGCGCCCCCTCCCAAGCAGAGAAAGGTGGCCATTGTCGGCAGCAGAGCCGTCGGTACGTGGTTGCCCGAAGCTCGCGCAGGCTTCACATGCAAGTACCAACAAACAGCATACTGACGCGAGGGTGCACAGGCAAGTCGAGTCTGACGGTGCAATTCGTCGACGGGCACTTTGTCGACAGCTACTACCCGACCATCGAGAATACTTTCAGCAAGATGATCAAGTACAAGAACCAGGACTATGCGACTGAGATCATCGATACGGCTGGCCAGGTACATGAGGTTTTCTTTTCCCCCGCGTCGCGAAGCTCAGCCCAGGTCGACGCCCCACCTGCGATGCTTCACGCGCGTCTCTGCTGAGCATGCCATGCCGTGCACCTCAAGCTGTTTGTGAGCACCCGCTGACTCGGGTCCCGCCTCCCAGGATGAATACAGCATTCTCAACTCCAAGCACTTTATCGGCATTCATGGCTACATGATTGTCTACTCGGTTGCCAACAAGCAGAGCTTTGAGATGGCGCGCATCATTCGCGATAAGATCCTGAACCACCTTGTGAGTCTGACATGTGACACGCTCCGCGCCACTGCCTAACCACCCCTCACACTAGGCCGTCGAATGGGTTCCTCTCGTCATCGTGGGCAATAAGTCTGACCTGCGCCCCGAACAACGCCAAGTCACGCCTGAAGACGGCAAAGCCCTCGCCGCCGAGTTCAAATGTGCCCACACCGAAGCCAGCGCGCGCTACAACGAGAACGTACAAAAGGCCTTTGAGCTTATGATTGCGGAGGTGGAGCGGTCCCAGAACCCTGGTGAGCCCGCTGGCGGCAGCAAATGTACAGTCATGTAATTCCAAGATTCTTGACTGACATGAGCGCGTGTACCAGTCGGCGTGGACAAATACCCGGCCCTCCAGAAGGAGCGCGAGGACAAGGAGAAGAAGCGGCGGAACAGTGCGCACCTCCTCAAGCACCCGTTTGACCATCTCACGAACGCGCTCAAGAAGAAGTAAGAGGAGGTATACTTTTGTTTGGTTGTTGTAGACGGCATAGACGGCGGCTGACTTGTCGCGATGATTCTTTTACGCGTTCCGGGTTTTCACTATCCTCATGGAAGGCAATAGTGTGTAATGGCGTAATGGTGTGAGCGGCGGTGTAATAGGCGTTATTATCTGGTATTCTGGGGTTCAAGCTGTTTGTCAATGACGATGTTTCACAGCTGTAGTACTACGTATCACTTTACGTTACTTTCAACAATAGACGGTATACGTTCATGTCAGCTTGAAGTTGTGTACATGAATGTTCGCGTGGAGTTCTGAAGGTCACGCCGGGCCCTGCATTTCGACTCGACAGGCTTGCGATGCACCGACCACCACCCACCATTTCTACCCACAGACCTTACAGTATTAGGAAGCTCGAAGCTTTGACGGAAAAGCTACTGCTTTCAACGGCATTTCTGTCCAGCCTACTCGATTCGGCAGTTTGAGCCTTGATGCTCTTTCTGGCGCGTTTTGCCTGCGATGCTTCCCTGTAAACCTGGAGTTGTGAGAGGTAACCCATCTACACCATGCACAAATGTAGCCACAACACCAGTGCATACGTCATTCATTTCTACCTTCCCAATAAGGCAGTTTCGCATCCCGCCCATCGAGTGCAGCACTTTCAATTCGCGTGGTATCCCAGCCAAAGCAGAAAACGCCAAGCGTTCTGAACAGACTCGTCCTGATTCGCTCTAGTGCGGGTCGCTCAATGGAATCCCTGTCGCTGTTTGAGTAAGGTGCGGGACACTGATGAGTCCCGCGTTTTGAACATCTCTCGATACGAGTCTACTCACACCACACACGACGGAATTCTGCTTGTGTTACGCAAGCTGAGAGACGGACAGGATGCTCGATATGTATGTTGCCTCCTTTTTTTGCGCGAGGAGAAAGTGGGGGCTGCTTGGATGCGCACGCGCTGAAGTTGGGCTTGGAGGGGCTGGAATTGGGGGAGTAGACATGGAGAGGGCGAGATTGGAGGTTGCGTTGGGGGTATGAAGAGATATGGGCTGACATTCGCGTCTATACAGAAATGACTTCATCAAGGAGCGCGGCGGCGAGCCCGACGTATGTATTCCCCGACTCGTTCTCGCGCGACATTGAATGTTGTTCTCATGCTAATACTGCGACCAGAAAATCCGCGAGTCCCAGAAGAAGCGATGCGCGCCCGTAGAGATTGTCGACGAGATCATCGCAGACTTTGAAGGCAAGAGCGACTCCAAAAGTCTTGCCGGGAGGGTCACTAGAACTTACACCGGCTACAGACCACCGTCGCACACAGTACGATGCCACCCAATTCGGCTCCAAGATAAACGCGGTCCAAAAGAATATCGGCGCCAAGAAGAAGGCCAAGGAAGACGCCTCCGAGCTGCTCGAGGAGAAGAAGAAGCTGGAGGCCGAGAAGAAGGAGAAGGAGGCTGAAGCTGCGGAGAAACTGGCCAAGCTGCTCACAAAGACGAAGACGGTCGGAAACTACGTGTACAAGGACGTTCCAGTCAGCGATAGCGAGGACAACAACGCGGTTCAGAAGACGTGGGCTCCTGCGGACCGGAAAGCAGAGTTCAAGGCAGATGGTATCCCACATCATGGTGTACTTGCGCGGTTGAACGGTTACGACCCGGAGAGAGGCACCAAGATTGTTGGGCACAGAGGATACTGCCTGACTGGATACGGTGTCTTCCTCAACCAAGCGCTCATCAACTACGGCCTTGAGTTCCTGGTAAGCGCGCAAAGCACCGAGTTCTACAGAACGCTATACTGACATGATGATTCTCCAGTTCAGCAAAGGCTTCACACCCAACCAACCGCCCTTCTTCATGCTACGCGACCAGATGGCCAAGACCGCACAACTCTCCGATTTCGACGAGGAACTCTACAAGGTCACCGAGAGCAAGGACAAGCCAGAGACCGACAAGTACCTCATCGCCACCTCAGAACAACCCATCTCCGCCCTTCACTCCGAGGAGTGGCTACACGACAAGGAACTGCCCATAAAGTACGCCGGATACTCCACAAACTTCCGGAAAGAAGCTGGTTCGCACGGCAAAGACGCATGGGGAATTTTCCGGATACACCAGTTCGAAAAGGTTGAGCAGTTCCTCCTCACAAACCCCGAGAAGTCATGGGAAGCTTTCGATGAGATGTTGGCCAACTCCGAGGAGTTCTACCAGAGCCTAGGTCTGCCTTACCAGGTGGTCGCCATTGTCTCTGGTGCGCTGAACAACGCTGCTTCCATGAAGCGCGATCTTGAGGCCTGGTTCCCTGTCACAGGTGGTGGAGAGTACAAGGAGCTTGTTTCCATTTCCAACTGCACCGACTACCAGACTCGCGAGCTGGAGATTAGACATGGGATTAAGAAGTTGAACGCTACGAGGAAGGAGTATGTTCACGCGCTCAACGGTACTCGTAAGTTACTCCCGGCACCCCATCTTCTCGCTTGAGAAGGGAATCAGGAAACTAATTTGTGTGTTACAGTGTGCGCGACTGAGCGAACTCTTTGCTGTATCCTTGAGAACTACCAGACACCCGAGGGCTTCGTCGTGCCTGAGGTGCTAAGGAAATACATTCCGGGTCAGCCTGACTTCTTGCCTTTTGTTAAGGAGTGGAGGGCGCCCAAGGAACCTATTCCTGACCGGACGAAGTAGGTGGTTGTTGCGCGGGACGGACGGTGCGAGGATGCATTGGCGAACGGCACTACGCTGGGGGTTTCAAAAGGAAGAACTATACGAACGCTGAGTAATAGCCTCGGCGGGTAGTGAAGTAGTTCATGAAAGAAATCATGAGAGAGCAATTCCACATATCTTAGAGTATTAAGATGTGAATGTGATCCGAATGATACTCTACATTTTCAAACCATCGCTTCTTAGACCCACATCCCTCCCCCCGCCACCATCCACCTAACCATCACCACCTCACTCACTCCCCTTCCCCATCCCCCTCATCCACAAGCCTATTCTCCCAACTCCCCAACCACCTCCACCCCCGACACACCTTATCCAGCTCTCCCAGCGCTTTATCCACATCCCCCGTATCAGTATCTGTCTTCCTCCCCTTGAACTCGACAAAGAAAACATAATGCCAATTCCTTACTCCACTCGGCCTCGTATTTATACTCGTCAGATTAATCCCATGACGTGAAAACACCGTCAGACAATTCGCCAGCGCACCAGGATTCGAATGCTCGATGGTGAAGGTGATGAGTGATTTCCAGGTGTTTGCGTTGGAGCTGGTTGATGGCGTCCTAATAGTAGTTCTGGAATTCGGCGCGGTTGTCGTCTCTACACCCCCATCATCGTCTTTTCGGCGTATAACGAAGAACCTTGTGCTGTTACCCTTCTTGTCATTGATCTCCTTGGCCAGCACATCCAGTCCGAAGAGCTCTGCGGCGATTTCACTAGATAGGGCTGCGGACTCGCCGGTCTTGTCTTGACTCGCGATTTCCGCGGCTTTGCTCGTGGAGCTTACGTCGTGCCTCTCAGCCGTCTTGAGGTACCTAGCCAGAAAGTTCTTACACTGGCCCCAGGCCTGTGGGTGGGAGTACAGTTTCTTGATATGAGACAAGTCGTTCCCATCATCCCCCTTTCTTTCATCTCTTCCATCTCTTCCATCTCCATTCTTAGTCGCAGTGGATGCATACCCCAACAAACAGTGCTTAACAGCCACATACGCCTCTCCCGTAACAAGAATATCAGGATACTTGTTGTTTAGGTCGGCGAAGAGGTCGAGGGTAAAGACTACGCTGCCGTTTGAGCTGTTTTCAAAGGGGACGACGCCGCGGTATGCGGTGCGGGATTGGACGGCGGAGAAGACGTCTTCGATTGTTATGGAGGGGGTGAGGGTTACTGGTGGCGTTGATGGTGATGCTGGGGGGAAGGCGGAGAGGGCGGCCTGCGGGGGGTGGTGTTAGGTTGGGGATGTGGGGGTTGGGTGTGAGGGTTGATCTTGATGGGGGAAGGAAAAGAAATATGTGTGTACTCGGATTTCTGTGACGGAAGGAAGGATATACGGAAAAGTGGTTGTGACGAAAGACTGAACCAGTGACATTGTCTGTTCAAGCTGATGGCTAGATTTGAGTGGGGGAACTCAATCACCTCTATTCCGCTTTTTAATTTGACTCACCTGATGTGTGTAGCTGCCCTCAGGGCCTAAGAAAGCCACGATCGGTCTCTTTTCATCTGCCATGTTTGTGTGTGGTTCCTGGGACGTTGCGTATGAACACAGATAAATCACTGAATCTCGGAATGACGTCGGAACCCGGTATCGGCGCTAGTAAAAGCAAAGACTAACTTGTCATCCCCATGGGGCGTGTTGCGCCCTTATGTTTGTCTTGAGATTGATCGAAAGGGTGGGGCCATGTACAAAGCACAGAACGTCACGCGCATCACTACGAACATTCAATCTCATTCTCAAATCAATTTTATATTCAGCTGGAGTAGAGCGAGCGACAAGCTGACGCATATTGGGCGAGCAATCTGCCTGTCCTTCTTCCGTAAAGGACTACTTTTCAAGAGGTTCGCAATCGACAATTGACGGTAGCCACCCTTCTGGATCCCTATGCTTTCTAGTCCTTATTGTAGCTAAGTCAGAGCTTCTCAGACCGAGGTTTGAAGAGGTCGAGCCTGTATGAGGCTGCTGCCTCTCCATGCAAGCGAGAGCGGGTCGTGGTAAGAATGGTGCTGGTCGACCTTGTTAAAATTAGTCAATGGTTGCTGGGGGACGGATACTAGTCGTACATTGCAAACCCTCCATAGGCACTCCCATCTTACAATCTGGAAAGGCGAAGTGTCGTTGCTTCGACTACTCCGGCCTTGATCTCGGACACGTCTTTTTGACTTTTCGCGCAGGTAGCGGACGTTCCGTCACTCGAAGCGAGTGGGGACGCTACCTCGCAGTCAGCGAGGGCGCACAACCGTCAATCATCGTAGAATTCATCTTCATCTTCGTCGAAGTCTTGCAGTTGCTCAAAGTTGAGCGCATAACGGAGGATGGCGCCGATACCACCAAAGCCCTTGACAAACTGGTTGCCCTCGGAAGAACGGTCGGAAACAAACTCCAGGTTGGCACCAAAGTCGCGGTACTTTTCGGCGAGCCACTCAAGCATAGAGCCTTGATCGATGACTTCCATCTCTTGGCCGGTTTCCTTGTCCATGAATATGCTTCGGTCCTCTTCTTGCTGCTTGGTGGTGTGGAGGATAATTTCCGCGCCCGCAGAGCTCTTGAGAACCCAGCGAGTGATCTCCAGGTTCTCAAAGACAATCAGAGTCTCAGCAGCACCAGCCTCCAGAGCCTTCAGGGTGTCGTCGATACCGTAGCAGACCTTGCCGGAGTCCTTGGAGATGTGGTCAAAGTACTCGTTAATGAGCTTCTTCTCCTGAATGAACTTGACGTTGCTGAGGGTCTCGCCAGCCAACTCGATGGCCTGGTTGAAACCGTTCTCGCCTCCGTAGGACACGTCGACGACCTTGATGACCTTGGACTGCAGACGGTTGTCGAACAGATCGGACTGGTTGAGGTCGTTCTTGAAGTCGGCGGAACCAGCGAGAATGATACCGGCTACGTTGACCTTGTCGGCGGTGATGAAGTTCTGTACAGCCAATTCGGCGACCTTGCGGACGTAGTTGTGGCGCTTCTCTTCACGGAGACGGGCGAAACGCAGAGCGGATTGACCACCACGGCCGTGCTTCTTGGGAAGATCGACGGAGAACCTGCACCGATTAGTGAGCTGTATGCTAAAAGGTATTGGTCGCACTCACTTGTGGACAATCTCACGCGTGTTTCCAGACAGAGTGCCAAAGAGCGCACCGTTTCCGTCCATGATGATGAATCCAAACTTCTGATCCGACTCTAGCAGTTCGCTCAGGGCCTCGGTATGGAATTTGTTGTCGCAAAGGTATAGCGACGTGTTGATAGGCTTGAAGGGCTCGAAGTCGATGTTGATCTTGCGCTCCTTGCCTTCCGCGGTGATAATTTCACCGCAGTAGACAACGAGGCCATTGGGCGGGACCTTTGAGTAGAGCTTGAGGCGCTGCTGGGTCGAGGTAATGGCCGACAGGACGGAGAGACGGTTGACGCGCGACTTGATGTTGGAGGCGGTACCCTGGAAAATTAGTGACGGCGCCGGCGCAGGGTGTCCTGGTACTCACGAATTCTTCAGCCAACATCTTCGCGGCACGTGAAACCTGATCCTTGGGCGCTACAACGGTCAGTCTGCGGCATTTTGCTAGGTCGTCAGGTGTCACATACGGATGATGAGGGAAATCATGGATGTGCCATTTCCGCGGGCTGCTTCGAGACGCTTGATTAGCTTCTTGACCTTCCAGATCTCAATGTTCTTCTCGGCCTCATTGGGCTGCTCATTCTTCCCGGACGACATGGTCGCGGCGGTGGTGTCGAGGTGAGGTAGTGGTGTTGGTGGGGTCGAGAGATTTTCTTGTTCGGCGAGGGGCAAGAACAAGCGACGTAGCTGCCGACTGGCGGCGGGAGGAGGGTGGAGAGCGCGGCCTGTGACTACTGCGCGCCTTGGCTACGTGAATGCGAAAGTCTTCAGGAGAGGCAAACGGCAGCCCACTCGGCTTATGTGAATTTATTTGTCCCTGACTGTGCCCGTAAGGCAGCACAGTCACGGTAGGGCAGTCGACTGGGCGCTGACAGAGGCTCGCTTGCACGGCCACTCAGCGGGCGGCGGGCATGGAGAGCAGCAGCAGCGCATGTGCAGTAACCCGTTATCAGCGCGTGCCTTGGGTAGCTCCGGCTGGGGGCAGCTATGACGGCAGACCGGCGGGGCCGCATGAATCCCTCGTGATAGCCATCTTGACTTTCTGCGTCTTTCTATGGCAGAAGTGTCTCGCTCGGCGCTTCTTTATATAATCAGGACGGTCATGGATAGCGGCTATCACCCGCAATCCACCAGGCGCAATTTCATCCCGACGATAGCCAGCTATCGACTCAAGTAGCTCCCGCCTCCCTGCAGGGTTTGAATCAACAGTTTTAGACGATATATCGCCTGGCCTGCCCCATACGTTCTTCTTGGTCGCGCCTGCTCCATCTGTCGTGACGCCCTGACGTACTCACCATGGATAACAGAGGGAAGCAGCCATCCGCCTGGAGCGCCTACGACTCCAACCGCCCATCCATCGACTCGGACACGGAGAGCCATGTGCAGTGGGACGAGCTCTCGAGGCGGCCCAGTGGAGAGAGCAATGCCGGGAGGTGGACGGGCACCGCGGGAGAGCTGCGCAGGCGGAGGTGAGCATATCGCGCCGCTCGCGTGACACCGCAGCTAACAGAAAGCAGGTCTTCCGTAGGACAGCAGATTAGCGCACTGGGCGAAGTTGGAGGCGTTAACAGTATCAACAACTTTGCGCGATCGTGGCAGCGTGCGGCAGGCTTCTTCGAGATCACCCCCGTGCGCCCTTCCTTCCGCGTCGAGACAGACGACGAAGACGGCGACGACACAGAGGAGTCCGACTTCTCACGTAGCGGACTGCCCACGCCAGTACCCGACCAACGATCCGCCCTGCGACAGGCCTTCCAGAACGAGGGCAGACGCGCATCCGACAATGCCATCACAGACGAGGAGAATGGCGCGACCGAGCGGAGCCAGCTGCTGCCCAACGGCGTCGAACAGCGCCTGCGAGGGAGAGGGTCGAGCATCTTCCAGATCGAACCTTCGCTATCGTCACCCTTCGGCGCGAGCTATGGCACGGGATACGGCAGTCTGAGTTCGCGCGTCAACGAGTCGTCCATGCGCCATGCTGGCCGCCTCTTCACAGAGCAACAGATGAAGGGCGTTGGGGAGCCAGAACAAGAACGAGAGCCGCTCCTGGTCAAGCAGGTTGAGGAGGATGGACACATTATCAACGTAGTTGTTGGTCAATCCACCCTACCCCAGACAATCTTCAACTCCGTCAACGTTCTGGTCGGCGTTGGACTGCTCACGTTGCCACTTGCGCTCAAGTACTCTGGATGGCTGATAGGCATGGTTTTCCTCGCATGGTCTGCCATAGTGACTGGCTACACTGCAAAGCTCCTAGCCAAATGTCTCGACGTTGATGGTTCTCTCATTACCTTTGCTGATCTTGCCTACGTCTCTTTTGGAACCAAAGCGCGAGTGGCAACCAGCATTCTGTTCTCGCTAGAGCTACTAGCAGCATGTGTAGCACTGGTCGTGCTTTTCGCTGACAGCATGGACGCTCTTATCCCCGGTTGGGACGTTTTCCAGTGGAAGATTGTCTGTGGGCTGATCTTGATACCATTGAGCTTCTTACCCCTCCGCTTTTTGTCATTCACATCTATCTTGGGTGTAATGTCTTGCTTCGGAAGTGAGTTAACAACTATCTGCATCATATGCGTCAACTAACATATAATAGTCACCCTCGCTATCTGGGTCGATGGACTTGCCAAACCCGACGCTCCCGGCTCCATTCGTCAGCCAATGACCCAATATCTGTTCCCCGACAACTGGATGACCGTGCCACTCTCGATTGGTCTACTCATGTCTCCTTGGGGTGGCCACTCTGTTTTCCCAAACATCTACCGCGACATGCGACACCCATACAAGTACAGGAAGGCCGTCAATGTCACCTACATCTTCACCTACTTGATCGATGTCGGTATGGCTTGCGCTGGTATTCTCATGTTTGGAGACGGTGTCAAAGAAGAAGTGACGAGCAACATCTTCCTCACCAAAGGCTTCCCTCAAGGCATCTCCGTTTTCATCGCCATCTGCATCGCCATCATTCCGTTGACCAAGATCCCGCTCAACGCACGCCCTATCGTCAGCACGTTGGAAGTTCTCTTCGGTCTGGACACGCGCTCTCTGGCCATGTCCTCGTCCATCGACGGCATGAGCGGACTCACTCGAGGAGCGCTCAAGATCACCCTTCGCATCGTTACCATCGTCATTTTCGTTATCATCGCAATCGTATTTCCTTCATTCGACCGCATCATGACACTCCTCGGCAGTGTCGCCTGCTTTAGCATTTGCATCATCCTACCCTTGGCGTTTCACTTGAAATTGTTTGGAAAAGAGATATCCAGTGGGGAGAAGACGATGAACTGGGTGTTGATTGTCGTCAGCACTATTATGGCTATCATCAGCACTGTTTTTGCATGCCTGCCCAAAGAGATGATTGGGGCTTAGGAACGAAAGTATGGAGATCATGACGATGTCGGAATGAAAATAGTTGTCTGGTAATGTGTTTGTTTAGTAAAAGTTTGATATCCGGGCGGTAATGGGCATGGCGTTCTTGTGCATTTGGAGGGTTGTTCTCAATATGAAATATTATTCTGCATAGCATCAAGTGAGTTTGAGGTCTGCATTCTCTCAATGTGCTTCTTGAGTGGTGGCCCAAATCGAGGCTAGATTGCACTCCACTTTGCTCTTTCTCCTTTCACTGATGGTCTTTGCCGCTTAGACTAACTTGACTTTATCGCCTAGTTCTGTCTCTCAACATACACTCTTGATTAGCCGAGGGCATTCGTTCATCGCAAGTTCCGCTCCATGAGGTTTCCACTGTTGTCGGCGGCTTCTACCCTGGCCATTGTTATCACAATCGCCCATTGCGATACTACCTTCACCTCCAAGACCAACGTCACCTTTACCAACGAAAATCACTTCGATGCCCGAGCCGACGACGACCCATGGACACTCTCTGTCGCTCGCGGTGCCAAACTCCTCCAAGGCATGAAGGCCAGCGACGCCGAAGCTGCCACTCTCTACAATCTAGGCACCACTGCCGAAAGCCCATTCGACGGCGATCTAATCGACAAACTACGCGAATGGGGCTACAACGATGCGACCGACGCTCTCGCCAAACAAGCAGACCCTGAATGCAATTTCGACAGCCAGAACGGGCATATGCTGAAGAAAGCCTTTGGCGATCTAGGCATTGGGACAAAGAGCAAGAGCCAAGGCGGCCCAAACCAATGTTTCCTCATCGAGCATTTCGACAGTCCGGCTGTGAAGAAGGGTGACGATGGCAAGATGCCCGCCAAAGCCGACCAACGGTACGACGTCTGCGAAAAAGAATACCGCGTCACGAATGCGGAGCACACCCTTGGCGTCAACGCAGAAGCCGGTGCTGTATACGCCATCCAACTTTCTTCCGCCGCAAAAGCTGCACGCCGTCTATGGAAACGCGCTCCCCTTGCCGAGGAACTCCCAGCTATACGCAGCGTCTCCGACATCGCATGGGCGTTCTGGAATCGCGTGCATACTGATGCGGAGAGTTTGCAGAATATCAAGTACCTGTTTGTCACAATGATCATCAACAAAGAAACAAACCAGCATGTCAAGCGTGCGCTGGGCACCCTGTCACCGCCGAAAGAGGATGCGGAAGGCTGGCCAGGACATGACTTCAGCCTGGAAACGGACGCGGGAAAAGCGCTGCTTGGAAGTCCTGTTGGAAGGTGGGCTGGTTACTTCCTTATGCAGCATAAGAGACAGTTGGGTGGTAACAAATACATCTCAAAGGTAAGAGTGTTCAAGTCGGAGAAAGAGGGTAGTTGGCCGTACTTTTTATTCTATGTCGATGGCGCCACAGCGTCTGCTGCGAGCGACGAGGGGATTATGGATCTGGCTGGGAAGCCCAGCGAGCCTCGAGTAGTACGAAAGAGTGAGGATGGAAGACGTATTGTTCGCGAGCATGTTGTGAGAATGAAGCTGTGAAAGCCATGAAGGTGAGCGTCAAGCGTTGCTTTCAGCCATATTCATCGAACTTTTTGTCAGTACAGCACTCGTAAATACACACCAACTCAAATCAACGCATGAACAAACGTGAAGAATCCAATGTCGTCTTCAAAGGAAACTCAGTGTAACAACTGCGACGGTGGAATACCCCAAGGCTGACTAACCCCCGTCGGCCCCATCCGTGGCGGAACCTCCGATGCGCAAAGCTTCAAGTACGTCAATCCACACAAAAACTACCTACAGCCCGCACTTGCAACCAGCCACACCGTCTCCGTCCTCCACCCGAATAACCTCCCGATACATACCGGCGCAGTCTCGCGACCACACATACACAAAGAAGAAAAGATGGATTCCCTAGGTGGTGGCGGTTTCGGCAATGCCGACTTGAGCAAGCTGTCCGACCGCGACAAGCAGGAACTGCAGCAATTCGCTATGAATGAGGGACAGAAGGCTAGGATTCAATCTTGTACGTCTTTTTATCCCTCTAGAAGCTCTCTTGCGACGAATTGAGTCTATGCACTATGCCTCTACCACCTTCCTCTGTGGATACAACCGCCCTCGACCATCACACCCTCTACCCAAAGCCCTTCCTTCCCGCCTTCCCATGTCCTACTCCCATAAGTACCCATTCGCTAACTCAACTCCTCCAAATAGCGATACACTCCCTCACCGACACATGTTTCCGCAAATGCATCCCCGCGGGTACCGTCAAGGCGGGCAAATTGGACAAGTACGAGGAGCCGTGCATGAGGCAGTGTGTGGATCGGTTCTTGGATGCGAATATGGTTGTGCTGAGGGAGTTGGAGAGGTTGAGGGGATAGATGGGGTACAAGAGAAGAGAGAGCAGGGGTGAGACGGGAGTGTATGATAATGAGACTTGATGATCTGTACAACACTGCATGGCGGGAAGCGTTGGGTGCATGTCATTGGAAATGGAGATGTGAGACACATGATAGATATTGCGCTGCGTCCAGCATTGCATTGATCTCTCCTACTGAGCAAACTTTCATGGCTATTCGAATGTTTCTGTGGCTGAAATATCGGGCTATGTCGCATGTCCAGGAATCACAATTCAGGAAAGAACGATGTCACAGCACGGTAATGTAAAGGTTGTTGAGGACCAAGTCCAACTTGGCGTCATGTGGAAATCTGATTCATTCGAGTCACCGTGACTACGTTTATCCCATGAACGCCCGCCATGCATATCACATCGCTTTTTCCATTGCCGGGTATAACCAGACCCTATCATGACCATGCCTTCCCTTATGCAGAGACCACCTCTTTAAACGATGGCGAGCTTGGTGGCCGCAATGTCGAGAGCGTCGACATCGGCGGTGAGGCGGCAGAAAGCCTTCTTTGAGCCGTCGGGACGGATCAGGGTGTTGATCTTGACGCAGCTGACGTCGTACTGCTTCTTGAGGGCGGCGGCGATTTGGCGCTTGTTGGCCTTGACGTTGCAGATGAAGACGAGGGTGTTGTTCTCCTCAATCTTCTTCATGGCCGACTCGGTGTTGAGAGGGTGGATGAGAACCTTCTCGGCGTCCATGCGGGGGGCATGGGGGACCGACTTGCGAGGGTACTTGCCGGCGCGGGACAGCTCGAGGGTCTTGGGGCTGCGACATATTAGCAGGCAAAATCTCGCAGCGTTGGAGTCGGGCATACCGGTGGAAGCTGGTGTTCTTCCTGATCGCGCGCTTCTTGTTCGCATACGACTGTCATCTCGTTAATTGTGCCCATCACACGAGAAGTACAGCCCGTCAGAGGTATGTTTCTGACACGACTCAAGAGGATCAAGGGAGGCTTACGCCGCGGAGGGCCGCTTTGGCAGCAGCATTGGCCTGCTTGCCAGTCTTGGTAGGGGCTGTGAAGGATGTTAGCGATGAGCGCAATGGGAGGGTCGCTGATCGAGGCGCATTCGCAAAGTTCCCTTTTCCACAGACTGCTGCCGTGGTCCGGTGCCACTTTGCGACATTTATGCTCCTCCTCGATTTCGCGGTTGCGGTGTCTGCGTTGACGTACTCTTAGATACGGCCTTGGGTCCCATTTTGGCGGTTGTGGTGGTCCTGGAGTTAGTGTCGAGAGTCGCAATCGAAAAGTTGTGGTTTTTGCTCCGGCTACAAGTCGAGTGTGGGAAGAAAGCACGCTAACGCACTAGCGCCAAATCCTTGCATCTGAGCTCTCGGCGTCGCTCAACCATCACCTTACCTCAGCCATGTGACTGCAACATCAAAATCGTCATGGCCGTCAAAAAGCGCCAAAAGACTCTGTCGCATGGCCGACCACCCGTCAGCAAGCCGAAAGAGCGGATGACCTCGGAGCGCTCCAGGACTATCATTCGCACCCATCACCGACTACAGAAGGAGCATGCAGCAGCTCTGAAGAAAGGGGATGTGAGCTCGGCAGAAGAGATCGCGCGAGCTATTGAGAAAAATGGAGGCATCAAGATGTACCAGGCTGCAAGCAAGCAAGGTCAGGCGAAAGACAGGGGTGGTGATTCTAGCAAGCTGTTAGTCGACTGGCTCCAGCAATCCAAGGTTTTGGACCCCAAAGCACGGGATCGCCGCAGCGCTGGCAACGCGGAACTCAGATGTCTCGAAGTTGGAGCTTTGTCAACTGAGAACGAGATCTCCAAGTACGCAAGCGTCATCGACATGACGAGGATCGATCTGAACAGTCAGGGGCCGGGCATCGAGAAGCAGGATTTCATGGAGCGGCCACTTCCTACATGCGACGATGAGCGCTTCGATATTATCTCCCTATCTCTCGTACTCAACTATGTTCCGGATGCAGTTGGTCGAGGCGAGATGCTGAAACGCATCACCAAGTTCTTGAGAAAGGGCGTTGCATGGACGGAGACGGCCGATTCGGTGTTGCCAGCTCTATTCTTTGTTCTACCTCTACCGTGCGTCGACAACTCACGCTATCTCGACGAAGATTTGTTTTTGGGAATCATGGGCGATCTAGGTTTTACGATGAGATTCAGCAAAAATACCTCAAAGCTGTGTTACTACTTGTTCACCTTGACGAATGAGCCTAAGGCTACGACGGCTGAGAAAAGGAAGATCAGAGACGGACCGGGAATGAACAACTTCTGCATCGTTGTGGAATGAACGTACAGAGGACGGCAGCTTGTCATTAGTTGCTAGATTACGCCGTCCACAACTTTACTCGGCGACCAAGCAAGGCGAGAACGCGCTCAAGCGCAATTGGTTAATCATACAGGTCACAGATGACCAGGAAGATACTACTCTCGTATTATTTGGGAAGACCAAGATGTCGCGACATCGCAGCGGTTCTGGTTGGCATGGCCCTGGTCCAAGCAGAGACTTCGACGTGTGTGCTGTCACCGCGACTACGACAATTCTGGCTACACCCGAATGCAAGCGACTTCTCAGCGAACAATCTCTCTGGAAGGAGCCGATATTTTAGATTGATGGTAGGAGTATCACCGACGCCATCGCGGGGCTGTTGTTGTATGCTCTAGCCTGTTGTACTTGTATGGGGAAGACTTCGGATCCACATCTACGCATCCTTACATCCGTTTATGGACACACAGTTCTGATATGGTCAACAGTCTACAGATCGGGTTCCATCTAGGCGCAACGTGGAGGATGCGGGATCATGTAGCAGGTTCGTCGACGATGTTGCGGGCGTCTACCGAGTCAACAATATCCACCGGACCATCACCGGACTACGCTCGGTATTTCGTGTAATATATACACTGGTTCTAGACTCACTAGTAGTTACCACGCGACTGTACTACACGGCCGATAAAGTCCCGAAGTGCCACAAATCGGTTTCCTTGAAACGCTTTGGTTCCCGAATTAGTATCGCATAGCCACACAACACACTCGCGGCGTTACTGCTAAACAACGCATCATGCTATGGCTGCGCAACAAGCAGTTGTAGAACGTCGCTTGCGGTGTTCTACTTTTCAAAATCCGGTTCTCGGCAGCGAATTTCAAAAATACTGCGTGTTCCCGTCTTCTCATCTCACGCATGTTTGATCGCCTTTTAGCGCATCCTACGCCTTAGCGCCACACGACTCACAATGCCCCCAACTCATCATACCAAGCATTGACACAAGCATTTTCTGAAACGGACTCTGGCTTGCTCAACCCCAAACGCCCGTCAATCAACGGATGCATATCACTGGGGCTGGACTAGAAAAAGGCGAGAAGCGCGTGGGTACCTGGCCGGCATTTTCCCGCTACGTTCGGTGGGTCGAGACAACGGAATTGGTGATCAAGAGATGAGCTTATTCGCATTCCTCCCGAGCGCAAATTTCCACATGTTAGTTTACTGCGTGGCGCTGCGTTGGGTTAGTCAAGTAAAATGAGATGTAAGCGTTGTTCGAGGCCTTTATGTAGGGCGGGGACGCCCTTTCGTAGAGCTTCAAGCTTCTGGTAACTCTCTCAACACGAAGTCGAACTTCCGTCTTTTTTTGCAAGCCGCTGAGCTGCTGCCATTCATTACTTGGACTCGTTGATACGATCCTATTCAGTCTTTTCCAACAAGTCGTCGTTCGAACCTCATCTTCCGTCACTCCATCAAACAGTCATCAGACACCATGAAGTCCACCTTCTTCTCTCTTCTCCCCATCGCGGGCCTCGCTGTTGCTGAGTCCGTCTGCTCCCAGCAGACTGTCACCACGACTGCAACTGAAACGGTGTACGAGACTGCAAAGCCCGTGGATGTTGCCGACGCCACCACTAGCAAGTCTGGCGCTTGCTCCTCCAGGAGCACTGTCTACACCACCACCTACGAGAAGGTCTACGTCACTGTCACCCCCGGTGCTGGCTCTGCTACTCCCGATGCTGTCGAGGATATCACATCCACCAGCACCAAGGAGATCCTCACCACCGTCACCGTTCGCCCAACCGGTGCTCCGTATGGCAACGCCACTACCTCTGCTCTCTTCAAGCCTGCAGGATCTTCCGACTCGCCCTCCTACCCTACCATGAGCGTCCTCCCGACTACCAAACTAGACTACAGCTCGCTTGCCTACACTCCCATTCCCCAGAGTGAAGCATCAAAGTCCTACGCTGCCGCCCAGTCATCCAGCGCTGCCGCAGTGCCTGCCTCCGAGTCCAAGGCTCCAGCTCCTGCCGCATCCCAGGCCGCGGCTCCCGCTGACAAAGCTGCCGTATCATCTGCCGCCTCCAAGCGCGGCGAAGCCACTTTCTACGGCGGAAACACTGAGGGCGGCATGTGCTCTTTCGTTGGCTACACCATCCCCGCCGGCCTCTACGGCACCGCGCTCTCCGACTCCAACTGGGACAACGGCAACGCCTGCGGTGTGTGCGTCAGCGTAACCGGCCCCAACGGTAACAAAATCACCGCCATGGTCACCGACCAATGCCCAGGGTAAGCAATCCCACCGTACAAATCTCACATGAAACAATCACTAACCCCACCCCACAGCTGCGGCCCCAACCACCTCGACCTCTACCCCGACGGCTTCGCCAAACTCGCAGAACCCTCCAAGGGCGTCATCAACGTCGACTGGACCCCCGTCCCCTGCGGCATCACCACCCCCATCGTCCTCAAGAACAAATCCGGCACCTCCAAATTCTGGTTCAGCATGCAAGTCATGAACTCCAACGTCGCCGTCTCCAAACTCGAAGTCTCCGTCGACTCAGGCAAGACCTGGCAGCCGACTACCCGCAAGCCGTACAACTTCTTTGAGAACCCGGCTGGCTTTGGCGCGGATAGCGTCGATGTTAAGATTACGAGTGAGGGCGGTAAGGAGATTGTGGTCAAGGGCGTTAGTATTGCGGCGGATAGTAAGAAGACTGCTGGGGGCAACTTTGCTTAGAGT